TAGCAAAGTTTAATATATGTTCTAAATTTGTTCATCACAAAGGTTTTCACATAGAACGGAACGATGTCATGGGTCCACCATGTGTTGTGAGCGACCTCTTATCAAAGTAACAAGAGTTGCTCCTTATACATTTTTGTGGGGATTCCCCGAACCCTCACATTGCGAGGACATCATTGTCCATCAAGCTACTGTCAACGGGTTTTCACATAGAAACTCCTTATAAAGAGATAGAAATTCTTATACTACATGTAATAAATGCAAAAAGAAAATGCATTTTTAAGAAGGTTATGAGTCAAAATGGGCATTGACTCATACAAACTTTAAATTAACCGATTCAAATCATTATTCATTGGAGTAAAGGATAAAATGAAATCCAACACATTGTAAGTTGTTGGCCTCAACATTGCTAAATAGCACAACATTATTCATCTTCTAAAGTACAAGAAGAAATATCCGTGAGGCCTTAGAAATACAATAGTAGACATGTCAATTATTTCTTAAAGTTTACTTTTTAGCAATAATAGAATCGAGATTTGTCTATGCTAAGGATATAAAAATGCAGATATCTCATTTTTCAATACAATGTAACACATGAGAACTTATCCACCAAAATGCGGGCCATTTAAGTAATTATGGTTTGGTAGAAATATCCTCATGCTATCATTTAAGGGCTCACCACCCGACCAATCAGGTCTATATGACTTGTTATTGCTAGACAGTTCTCATCAAAAGTAATTGATGAGTATTGCATTTTTGTCGAGATCAATGAAAATCATCTCACATCCCATGTAAAAATAAAGTATCACTAAAGCTCACATCTAAAAGAATATAGATGGTGAATATTATATCTACTATGCACACACTTATATATCATTATTTTCATGGGATTATGTAATATTGCAAGCACTCTTACACATTTGTTTTTTTAGACCGATAGTAGACAACCACTTTTGTGTATACCAGTTGGTGACTGGATCTTAGCCTGGGACATTCTACTTATACAAATATGGTTGTTAACTAATTGTGCCTAATGCGCCTTCCACAGCGCACTATAATCGGTTTTAAAAGATAAATGATGTTTATGTTGGATATGAACCTCCAATAATAACCCGCTATAAGCCTTAACAAATAATGTGTTTACCGCTTTGCGAAATATTACTTTGATGACCGAGACAATTGATTTTCCTGTCTTTAGGAGGAGATTAGAGAAAGAATTCTCTAATTAAATGACAGAATCATTATGATGGTACATCAGTACTTTGCCTCAATGATAAATCTTAGACTTCAAAATGTAACATTTCGTTAAAGTAAACGATTTAAGTAATCAGATTATACACACTAGCTGCAAACATATTTATAAGGCTTGAATTTGAATTAAAAGACACAATGCTAAAGGAAGAAGCATTGCAATCACAAACAGTGAGGTTGTGGTTGAGGCCGTGGCTCTCTAAAGGAATAGAGGGAAGCCACATGGTTCGATTAATTATCCACCCCAAGTAAGTAGAGGGTAGATAAGGCACAAATCAATATATTCGTCATCATATGAATTCCTCTCATGAGATTATCTCTGACTAAACATGTCCATGAATCAATAATGGGGGACGCCCCGAAGTTTAAATGATTCCAGAGAATTAAAATCTCCATGTGAATGAGAGTGTGTATGAGTCGAATGATAGACCTTACACTTATACTAATGATATATTTACGGTTGCTCAAACGAATATAGAGCACGATGATATCGAACCATACTCTATTGCAACATGAAAGCAATGAGAATTTTGGCCTAAAAGCGTACAAGTAATCCAGGTATAAATTTAATATTTGATAAAGAGACAGGTATTTGGTGTGATAGTGCTAATCAACCAAGTGTAAAGCCTGTAGGACATAAGTTATTCTTTGTTAGAAAGCGTATTGAGATAATGAGGTCCTAATTATTCTCACTACGCCCTAGATTCAAATATGAAAAGTTACATACACTTCTCTATTTTGAACACAAAAATGTTCAACTACTTAATCTTTAAGTAGCCTCCAAAGTAATGGAGACACAGCTAAAGATTGGGGTCACCAAATAAATGTCTCAATCTTATTTAAGAGCAGTTATGTTTTTATGAAGCACTTATGTTTTTATCAAGTGGTTTTTAATAACACTATATACGTTCACATTTGGATTGAATCAATCCAGACGGGACTGACATACCCGTCTAAGTGACCACTTGACTGAAAAGGGATGCAAAATGAATATATTATGTCTAGCGCATTTATAATGGAAATAAGTTTTGTTTCCAAATATCACTGTATCTCCATGATATAGACATAATATGTACTCATAATGGAACATGAGACATGTTAGATACTTGAAAATTATAATTGAGATTAAGGATCTTGGGAAACTTGGTTCTGTTTTGAAATTAAACACCGAGTTGGTTGAATACTAAATTCACCAGTTGCATATATCCAAAAGGGTTCTCAGGCAAAATTGACATGGATAAATGTAAACTGTTAGCACTCCCATGATTGGTCGAAATATGGATACTAGAAAAGTTCCATTACTGAAAAGTTATTGGGAGGAGAAATTCCCTATGTAAGTGCAATATGCGCATGATTGTACTTTGACCAACACATTCGACCAAATATTACATTCTCAATAACGTGTTAGCTAAAAATAGCTCAGGACCAACACATCCTATATCATCATTGAAATGGTATCAAGAATGTGCTTTGATATCTCTATGAAACCATTGGAGTAATCGTTATTCATCCCTTATAAATTGAATTAAATTATTGATGATAGCAATATTTCTAAAGGAATTAAAAATATCAAAAGTATTACTCTAACACAAAGTAACGTGATTTGAGTTTTACTGATGATGGGTATCCCCTTACCTCATTGATATTTTATTAATGAGTATATATTTATCTTGAAAGAGACCATGATGTCATATACGGAATACCTTGATAAAAGTATGTATCAAGTAAATGTTAGATTCTTATTGATGTGTTGCACTCAGGGGGAGTACTTACACACTTATTTATCATCAATTATAATGGTGCATTGTACTCTTTTTTTCCTTCGACCAATGTTTATTTTTTCCCATCGGGTTTTGTTACTTGGTAAGGTTTTTTTTAGGCAACACAACATGCACCATCCCACATTTTAATTCATACGTAAAATTATGTTGAAGGAAGACCATAATTAATATATCGCAGTCAAAAGTAATTGACGTGTGCTATTAGTGCATCACACTTTTTTCCCTTGACCAATGTTTATTTTTCCCATTGGGTTTTGTTCATTGGCAAGGTTTTAGCAAGTTAAATTTTTCTTACTCTTATTACCTTATACTTGGCACACAGGGGGAGAACTAAAGGAAATGTATTCCTCTATTTTGTGTGCCTTCGCTAAGGTAATTAACGTAAAAAGTATTGGAATGCATAGACTTTCCAAACATAATTGATTAATGTAATTACTAAGGATATGTGTAGACTTGAGGGGGAGTTCCCCATCTACATTATGTTATATTCTTTTCCTTTAACCAAGTTTTACTTTTCCCATCAGGTTTTGTTACTTGGTAAGGTTTTTAATGAGGTAACAATACATATACGCTTTATTGATCAAAGCAAGGATCAAATAAAGACAGACTTAATAGACGAAGTCTATTGTGATGCTATACTCTTTTTTCCAGTCAAGGTTATTTTTCCCACAGGGTTTTTATTACTTGACAGAGGTTTTGACGAGACAACAACAAGACAGATACCAAATTCTATTCAACTCAGCACAAGGGGGAGTGTTGAAGGAAATTCTATGTAGTGTGCTATCGTTTATATAGAATATGTATTAGGGTTATTCCTATGTAAACTATGTAATCTGGGCCTATTGGCCCGTACTTGTAAACCCTACTCTATCCCTATTTATAGGGGTATTCGGTAATGAAACTCTACGAACAATTCTCCCTACAACAAGAAGTACGCAGCATTTGTTACTCTATAATAATACTCCGTAATAATTTGTGCAAAGAAAAAAGATCAAGAAGCTCCAATCTTATTCTATTAGACCTGAACAAAATCGGGCCGGCCCGCCTAGCCCGCCCGCACAAATTAGCGGGCTTGGGCATATATATTTACCCACCGGCCCGGGCCCGGCCCGCAACAACACATGTGTAGGCCTGTTCGGGCCGATAAGCCCGGCCCGCTACATTTAGTATATATATATACTAATTTATGTATTTATTTACATGTTCTCATATATATTTTTATATTTACTAATTTATCTGTATACATATTTATAGTTTATTATGTTTAAATTTAAGTTTTTAGTTCTTAACAAATAGTCCAACCAATATAATATCTATTTTTGTACTTAAAGATAATACTTTGTGCATGAATTTTAAATTTTAGATATAGTTTCTCATTATTATTTTTGTGTAAATATTTTTTGTGTATGTGGTGAATGGCCTATATACATTATAAGCGTATTAGCAATTTTTGAAATGTTGTAATATTATTTAAAAAGTATTAAATAAATTATATAATTTTGAAAAATTTATAGTTTTCCCGGGCCCGGCGGGCCGGTGGACTACCCGGCCCGCTCTTACGGGCGGGTATGGACATGGGGTTAGGCCCGTTTTTGTGGGACGGGCCGGGCCCGCCCACACACGATGGGCATAAAACTTATGAAAAGCCCGGCCCGAGCCCGGCCCGAGCCCGCTTTTGTGCAGGTCTATATTCAATGAATAGCATCAATTATGGCCCTTCCAAGTTCCAAATGAGGGTGAATATATGAATAAATTCCACTTTTGATCCTACGAGTATCGCATCTATTCCACAATTTGTTCATGTCTTTGACAACTTTTTGTGCATGACTATTGTGTTTTCTCCCATATATGATCCTTCCGGCCATATTTCTTGTGGTTAAAATCGTCGGAGAACCACAAATGATCAAAAACATTAGTTAGGCATAAAATGGACAAAGTGAAAGATATGAACTAAATGTGAAAATGACATATAACTCGGTTAACCAAAAGTGAAATTAATTTGTGAATATATTACAAAAGCCGTTCTTATTCGCACGACAGATAATTAAAAGCTGCTTAATCATTTGTAAATCTAAGTAATTTCAATCAAATCCCTGAGATTACAAATGCTTGACTTACACGGAGTAATGATTGGATCTAAATCACACATACCCCCCATTGACTCGAATAGTCTGGCCATTGACCCACTCACCGCCGTCTCCGGCCACAAACGCGACCACCGGGGCTATGTCCTCCGCCTGCCCCAGCCTGCCGAAGGGGCTCTCGTCCACCGCCTTCTGTATTACCTCCTCCGATTTCCCCTCGAAGAACATATCCGTCGCCACCGGCCCCGGCGCCACGCAATTCGCAGTTATCCCCGTCCCCTTCAGCTCTTTCCCCAGTACCTTCACCATGGCCTCCACCGCCGCTTTCGACGCCGCGTACGCTCCGAATCCTGGTCTCAGCGCCGCCGCCATCGAGGAGGTGAGGCAGATGATTCTCCCGCCGCCGCCGCGCTGGATCCTGGCGGCGGCTTCCTTGCAGCAGATGAACGCGCCGCGCGTGTTGACGCTGAAGGTCCTATCGAAATCTTCGATCGCCGTGTCGAGGACGGATGGATACTTGGTGTCCAGCACGCCGGCGGAATTGACCAGGATGTGGACCTTCGAATTGAACTCCGTCTCGGCCACGTCGAATAGGGTTTTCACTTGGGCCGGGTCGGATACGTCGGCCTTGACGGCGACGGCCCGCTTTGGTCCGCCGGAATTGATTTGGGAGACGACGAGGTCCGCGTGATCTGAACTGGCGGCGTAATTGACGACGACCTTCGCGCCGAGAGAAGCAAGGTGGAGGGCAATGGCCTTGCCGATTCCTCGCGACGAGCCGGTGACGATCGCCACTCTGCCGTTGAGCGGACTTGCGGCCTCCGGGACACTTTTCGCGGCCATTTGATCGGCGGGTGTTCTGGTTAATAATTAATTAATTAGTGATAATCTAATCGCACCCTAATTATAGACTGTAAAAGATGTTTGGGCCCGTTTGTTATGATGTAAAGTAAACACTTTGCGTGCAAAGTGTGAGGAAGTAAACATTTTACACTGTTTGTTTTAACTGTTTAATGTAAACTGTAGGACACTTTTTAAAAACCATTTTACACTGTACCATGTAAAATACTTTACGTGGGGGGAGGGTAGTAAACTAGTTTACAATCCGTTAATACGGGAGAATAAATACACCGAATTACATACGACAACCAAAAATCTTGCCGGCAATGAATTAAACTCGTTTTTTCCTCCTGTGTTGCTCCCGTAAGAAAATAAAATTGGTAAACCACATCATCAAATCTCTTTCTCCATCTGTGTTGCTCTACAGTCTACACCCGTCGTTCCAAGAGAGCTTCTAAAATGATTTATTCTCTAGATTGGCAGACTGCAGGTGTTGTCCATGATTAGTTCGATTTTGTAGCTAGATTGGCAGACTGCAGGTGTTGTTTAGTTTTTTTAGAAACCAGCCTCTTTGATTGTGTAAGTATTTTATGTTTTATTTTTTTTGTAAATATTACACGTGTAAAATTAGTTTCCAAACAAAAAGATTGTGTGTAATTTAAAAACAGATTACATAGATAGTCAAACGATGTATTTTTAGTTTACATGTAAACTAATTACAGCCCTACACTTTACGTGCAATCATTTTGCATGTAAAGTTTTAATGTGTGAACTACCAAACGAGCCCTTTATGTCGGCGTGTAAATTGTACTAGATTTGATTAATGGCACTCTCGCCTTTTGCGTGAGAAGTTTGATTTCAACTCAAATTTAGTCATTTGATAGTCTTGGAGACTTGCTAATCAAAGTTAATATATTTTTTAATTAGTTGTTTTATTAAAATTTTATTGTTTTGTTTATTACTACGTACTGTATTGATGAGAACATAATACTCCATCCATTCCGAAATAATTGTCTTGTTTGCTTTTGCACTAGTTTTAAGAAAATGGTTGAAAAGGTAAAAATTATGATTACGATTTGAGTAGAAAAAGGTGAATTGATATGAGCTACTACCTCCGTAACATTGGGATGTTCCCATTTGAAAAGTATGTAGATTAAGAATAGTGAAAGGAGATATGTGTTATTAGGGGTATGATGGGAAGATAGTGAAATAATGTGATGGAATGAAGGATAAATCCAAAAAAAATAGGTGTAATAGTGTATTATTTTTAAAATTATTGAGGATATGATGGGAAGATTTAGAAATGTGAAGATATTAGTGTTACGTCCAAAAAAGGAGAGTGAGAAGATATTTACGTTACGGAGGTAGTACATATTATTGTCAAAAGAAGAAACAAGACATTTTTTGGAGACATCTCAAAAAGGAAAGAAGACAATTATTTCGGAATGGAGGGAGTAGTATGGAGCTGGCAAACGCGAAAAGTGGATTGTTCCATTTATTTAATAATGGAGGAAGTATAATTTATGTGCTAATGAGCCCCTCCAATGTGGTCGAGCTGGTTCCGCCCCTGCTTGGAGTTGATGATTCTGCTCAAATTTTGATTGAAACAATTGAATTAAATCAAATAGCTCGTTGGTTAAAGATCATTTGATAACTCTGAAATGTAGTCCGTATATTTCTATTATTATGAGATACAGAGTAAGTGAGGATGAAATTTAGTTGAGAAAACTGTCAAATAGGTCCTCGAACTTTCATAAAAAAGTCAATTAAGTCCTTCTATAGGAGATTCTGTCCGTCCGTCGCGATTTGGGGCGGTTCCCAGTGGAATTTTTTGATGAAAATTTTTGAGCATCTTATTCATCAAGTCTAGTTTATTCATACCAAAATTGAGCTAAAAATTCAATCGGGAACACATTCAAATTAATTTGAGATCGCAAAAATGCGCAGTTATTTTCAAGAATTAATTTGAATGTGTTCCCAATTGAATTTTTAGCTGAAGTTTGGTATGAGTAAACTAGACTTGATGAATAAGATGCTCAAAAAATTTCATCAAAAAATTCCACCGGTAACCGCCCCAAATCGCGATGGCCGGACAGAGTCTCCTATAGAAGGACTTAGTTGACTTTTTTATGAAAGTTCGAGGACCTATTTGACAGTTTTCCCAATTTAGTTTCTTATTTCGGCCACTTCTATATATTCACGAGTGTAGGCTATGAGTTTGAGCCTACATACTCTATTGCACCTGAAGTCCGTTTGGTGACTCATGTTTTTAGCTTATTAGCTCTATCAATCTACTTTTTAACTAAACACGTAACTTTCTACATCGTGTGCTAAAATGTATGATAATCAAAATAAGTAAAGCCGGGAATACTTTTCATGTTCAATTCACTGAAATTTCTACAGGCTCCATTTTAACAATTTTTCATATAATTTTGTCTTTATTTTATTAGTACAAAATATTTTAAATATAATGTTTTTTATAATTTAACAGATTCAACCACTTTTGTCAGAACTTCATAAAATAAAGGAAAAATGTATAAAATATAGTGAAAATAGTCTAATATATACAGTAACTTCAATCAAGATACTTACAAAAATAAGTCAAACCACTTAGAAAAGTAACTTCAATTTTAATTTTTGGTGATGAGATTGATAAATTGAAAGCATAATAAATTTTAAAAATAATGTAACATAATTGTTAGAAACCATAGATTTAAATTTATTAAGCTAATAATGTATCTAGACTAGTACTGCCTATATATCGTGCTTGATATTTTTTCGATTGAGAATTCGAGTTTGAATAATAAAAATGATGGTGTTGTTTATTTTTTTCAGCGGAGATTAGTCACAGATACAAAAATTGTATTTTGATCGACATTTTTCATAAATATGATAGGTTATATACTTATATTGTGTTTGTGTGTGCACATAAAAAAAAAACACGCACGCATTATCATGCATGAATGATAAAATTGTCACATTTAATAATATATGATAATTAATCATTTAATTTCATTGTGTTATTAATATTAAAAGGAAGACATCAGTTTATTATTCCGAAGAACCGGAAGCGAAACGCTATGCCGGGGCGAGGGAACGGGAAAAGAAACGGCTCCGAAGAAATCAATTGGGGTTCCTAATGCTTCTCCACGCTTAACAAGATGCGCCAACCTCGGGATGCTTTACTCCTAACCCCACAAGGTTCCGAGATGGAGCTTAACCTGAGTCTCGGTTAAGAACGGCGATGATCTACGTTTCACACGGCGCACGATTCCATGGATAGTTTCATTCGAAGATAAAGCAAGTATATTCATATTTCCATCGGCCCTCCTTAAGTGGGGAAACCTCTTTGTAAGCAAGTGAAGAAAGCCATACGGTGGTGTGGACGATAAGTAGAGAGATGCAGAAAGAGAAGGATCTCACTTAGGCGGAAGCGGGTGCGCCAACTCCATAGGCGGGTAAAAGCGTAGGTCTTATTCCATAGCAGGTCTTATTCCATAATAATAAAATTCAAGTATATATACAAACATAAATATTTTTTTTATCTTAATTTACATGTACCTTTCTTCATATTCATGGTTAAAATTAAAGATATATGTATCCTAGAAAAATAAAATTAAAAAGTAAAAAAAGTGTTCGGCGGAATCTAGAGGCTAGGCGGCCGATTAGGCGATATGGGTGGACAATTAGACGCATTAGGTGGTTGAGTAATTCACCAGATGCCAAACCAATTAGTTGAAGTGCATAGACAAAATCAGGACGTCCAACCACCACCTAGCCCATGGGCGGGGAGCCGGGGACTAGTCTGACGCTTAGAATGATTTTAGAACAATTACAGGAACCATAAAGTACAAAATGGAAGAAAACAATTGAGCCCGTTTGGTGACTTCTATGTTTTATTTATATGTTTTATCAGTCAATTTTTTATAAAACAAATAACTTTTGACTTCGCGCACACTGTTTTTCGGCTTATCAGATTTATCTGCTAACTTTTTCACTAAACACGTAACTTTTGCTTTCGCGTGCTAAATTGTGTAATAAGCAGAAAAAGTAAGGTTGAAGTTACTTTCCTGGCTGTATTGGCTGAAGTTACTGTAGATGACCATTTTAGCTATTTTTACATATAATTTTTTCTTTATTTTATGAATAAAATATATTTCAGAAATAATTTTTTTTAAAATAGCAGAATCAGCCAGTGCTGGAACTTAGACTAGAACTTCATAAATTTTAGTATAATCAGTCAAATCAGCCGATTTTGATGCTATCAAAGTGACTCTAAAGTAACTCTAAAATTAAAATTTTGGTACAAGAATAGTAAGAAATAAATTATGTAAATCCTGGAATAAATTATGTAAATCCTGGAATATCTGGGAGATGGTACGATTGGACCCTGCCCAATCATAATTGTGAGTACCCTTTCTAGAAATGAAAAAAAGGACAAACGAGGAACGGACAGCCTTGCACTGAAAACGCGGAAGCTCTGTCCATTCCATAGCGCCGCCAACGCTCCCAATCTTCCGACTATCCATTTTCCCATTTTCAAGAATTGCAAAAAAACAATGCAAGGTATCAGTATTCCCCATGCTGCTCTTAATCGATGAAGAACCAAGAATCTGAAGGAGAAAGGGTTAAGTTTTTTTTTTATTCAAACTGGTATGTATTGCTGTTTAGATTCAAGCATCTTCTCATCCGATTTACGAATGTCCATAGTGGGTCTGTGTGTTTGTTCGAATTTGTGAAACTCATGAATTTCTATATATTTTCAAGATTTAGCGCAAAATATGCCTTATACTCCGTAAGTTATAAGTTCTCTATTCGCATCTACTGCAAGTTCTTGGCAAAAAAAGGGATTTTGACAGTATCTTCCATTGTTCTTAGGTTTAAATTGGTTGTAGTTTGCTTCTGGTAAATGATGGGAAGAAAAAGTCTAAGCCCTATACTACAGAGAGAGTTGGAGAAGAATCTTGATGCAGGTGTGACACTCAGTGAAGGGTGGTTATTAAGCGCATCAGCTGAACA